GAGCACCAAAAAGACTGTTACCGTTTTGAGCTTTTGCGTATGAAAGTATTTCAAAATGGCAATAGTGACTGTGTTCATGGCAATTTACTTTAAATATTATAACTAAATGATGTTTATAACGATAATATGATGTTTCTTAACAAGATAAAAATGATGAAGATGAAAATAAACTAATAACAAGACTAAACTAAAAGATAAACTTAACCAAAAATTACTTAAAATTCCAAAAATAAATCAATTTAACATGTCGAACTCGACATTAAACCAAAAGAAACTCAAAACCAAAACTTAAGAACTTAAAGTATGAATCAGAGAACTTGCACTTGTATTTATACATATTTTTGTGTTATAGTGGCACAGTATGGCACAGTAATACGCAGTATGATGCAGCATGACGCAGTTGCAATGTAGCATGTGACATAGTAGATCTTTATTAATACTATAAAATTATTGATTCTCTTCTAAATTACACGAAATTTAACTACATAATAATTAATAATCTTTATTCTACATTTAAATACCAATAGCAAAAATAAAAAATAAAGACTAAATTAATATAGATAATGATGAAATTTGCCAAGAAAATAACATGATAAATATATCCAAATAAAGATAACAATAAGATAAATATAGAAAGATAGATAATACAAGAAAGAAAAAGAAGAAAATAGAAAGAATTAGAAAGAAGTAGAATATTATCAAACCAATTATGTAGTCCAAATATCATTATGACTAATTTTTATTGTGCCGCATCTTTTGTTTACGTGTTCTTTATATGAAATTATAGTCGATATTGAATCGGTGACAATATATAATATTTAAATTTATTTATTTATATAATATAAAAATTCTGTTATAATTATTTTTTTAAGTAGTAGTTATTTTTATTATTATAAAATTCTAGTATAATTATATTTATGAAAAAATTATTATTAAATTCAACAATTAATTAAAACTCAAAAATATAATTTTATTTAATAATTTATTATTATTTATTTATTAAAATTATCAAATTAAATAAATTATACTAAATTATTTAATAAATATAAATATATATTTAAATTTGTAAAAAACTATATTGAATTTAATAATATTAACTAAATTCATTTTTGAATTAAAGCTTAAAACTATTAAAATTCAAATAAAGAAATTATATATAATTAACAAATTACTTTAATAAATTTGTTTTTTTTATTAATTCCACTTTATATAATGGATCAAAATTAGATTTTGCTTAAAACTAAATGATTTAAACAAGTATTTATAATCAAATTAATCCAAACTTTTTATTGAATTATATACTGAGATAATTAAACTTGAATTACTTGGTTAATTTGTAATATTTTTTCAAACAATAAAGAATGCAAAGTAAATAAATAAATCTGTACAAATAAAGGATGCTAAGATTTTTATATATTTATGAATTGATTAATTACTAAGAACAATATAATAGTATTAAAAGTTATTCCAAAAAATGTGATGTTTAAAATGTAGATAATAAATAATTTACAGAAATACTAGCTTACAAGAAAACTAACCCATAAAAAGAATGTAATGATTTCTCGCATTGCATTTCTTCTTTGTTTCCTTCCCTTTTTTTCATTAATTATTCGGCAGTAATTTGAGCTTGAAAATTTTCCGGAATTTTCGGAAGAGGTGGAGCATCATCCTTCAAGCTATTCAAGATGTTTTCTGCACGTAAAACAACCGACATACTCCGAGCAACTCTTCGATCACGTGGAGTACCGCGTTGTCTTCGATTAGGTGTAGTATCAAGATCACGACCATTACGTAATGTTTCAAGTAAATTATCCATGATATGTTTATCAGATGTCTCATCCGGTTGTTCACTAATTTTAACTTCTGGATTTGCAGGTTTTTCCTTTTTGATACGTGCAGCAATTTCCTTTTTTTGATATTGGGAGATTAATTGTTTTTTATTAATGTTTATTATTTAGAAAAATACTAAAAATAATTTCGAATGTGTAATTACCTCCATTCTCTTTTGATTAGCCAATTCACGTTCTCTTTGTGCTTTGTTATCATTTTTTGCTCGCTATGCAAAATGAAAAACCCTTTTTTAGCAAAAAAAGATACAGTAATAATACAACAGAAAACAATAGAAAATATTCATACCTCGAAAGATGCAACAAATGTTTTGAACACCCCAAAGAATTCATCCGGTTTTGTGGAATTTGGATCTTCGCCATAATATGCTACTACATCTTTATACGCTACTTCCATTGAAGTATATTTCACTTGGAGTTCTTCGAATTTCTCCAAAGATTTTTGTACAAATGATCGCATAACATCTGGGAATCGATCTCCCTCCTCCAATTGCACATCGTCATCAAAATGTTTTTTGAGCTCTAAGGCGAGATCATTTAATTTCGTGCCCATTTGTCGATACTCTGCCGTTAACTCTTGTTGTGATACTAATTTTTATTAATTTATTGTTAATTTAAATCAGTGAAAATTTAACATAACTTTCATAAGCATAGAATAGAATGCAAAGAGAAATTAACCTCGACAAGCAGATCCACAATGTTTTAATTCTTCAGTGAACTCGATAACATGTGGAACTTTGTTTTCCACTGTATTCGCAAGAAAATGTAATAATGTCATCGAGGAACTAGTAGAAGCTTTTGTATCAACCAACTTTTAAGCGAAAAAAATTATTAATATCAATTAATTTAATTTGAATCAGCTTGATTACTAGAAATTCGAATCCCTTACCTTATTTATACTTGCAATTTTGAAACCAAATGCACCACCTTTAATCGTCGTTCCGTTCATGTAGTTACCAAGTAACAATATAAGCTAAAAATAAAGCATTACTAAGAAATTAATCGCTCTACATGTAAATATGATATATAAAATAACTTACATCCAGCAATTCACGGAAATGCTTAGCGTCTTTCAAATCTATTGACGCGTTTAATACTGCTACGACACTCTAGGATTCCAAAAAATAATTAATAAATTTATTTCTTTGATGTGGATTATTAGAATAAAATCGAATAATTACCTGTTCAAGGTCATTAAACTTTTCATCAAAAGTTATATGAAAATGCATAAACTTTAGACGTTGTTCGTATCGATGTATTTGCATTACCTGGTAGGTTATAAAATAAATTTTAAACAAGAACTTAAAATAAATGCAAAAAGATTAATGAATTTTCCATTAGTAAAACAAACCTCGACGAAAAATCGATCAGGTCTTGCCAAATTGTCAAGGACATCCTCTGAGCTATCTTTATACACCATCAATTTACCCCTCTTTAATAATCGTGATTAGAAATCCGATGATTAACATATACCCGAAAAGAAAACCCCAATTTGAACAATTAAGAGGAAAATAAATCAAACCTCATCAGGAGTAGGTGTAAATTGCATAAATTGATTTAATAAATTTTCTGTACAAAATAGTTCATCTATTTGCACAATTTTACGATGCATTTCTGAGAATGGCATTTGTTTGTATCGACCAAGCACAACATCTTGATAAAAATAATTCTACGTCATTTATATAATATGAGAATGATTTTAAAAATAAATAATTTCAAATACATACTTATATTATAAGCACGCTTAGAATCCAATACACTTATCTCCTCTTTCTTTTCAACTTTTTTCCCTGTAAATGTCAAAGAATTTATTAATAGAAAATGATGTGAGTATTAATAAAATTATAAAAAACTTTAAATATTAAAAAATTACTTTTCGGTGCAATTTGTCGAGCAGCAAATAATTCTTCAATAGTAGCGAATACACCATCTTGACCACCAAGTAACATCAGCAACTCCTCATCAGTCATATTGGGCCGTCCCCAAATCGTTTTATTAATGGAGAATTGATTAATCTTTTCCCATTGAAGTTGTTTAAGTTTCTTTTTTGCTGATATTGGAATTTCTTTACGTTGGTTTCCACCAGGGGCTGCAGGAACGAAGCTACCAGGAGGTGGAGGTGGTCCAGGTGGCCCTGGAGGTGCACCTGGAATTCCTGGCGGTGGGGGTGGTGGAGGTGCACCTGGAATTCCTGGCGGTGGGGGTGGTGGAGGTGCACCTGGAATTCCTGGCGGTGGAGGTGGCGGAGGAATATTACCATCACTTCCCATTGCGGGAGGAGGAGGAGGAGGTGGTGGTGGAATATTACCGTCACTTCCCATTACGGGAGGTGGTGGTGGTGGTGGTGGAATATTACCGTCACTTCCCATTGCGGGAGGAGGAGGTGGTGGTGGAGGAATATTATCATCATTTCCCATCATAGGAGGTGGTGGTGGTGGTGGTGGAATATTACTTTCATTTCCCATTGGAGGTGGAGAGGGAGGCGGTGGAGGTATATTATCTACGTCTTCCGATTTTGGAGGATGTGGCGAAGGTGCTGGTATATTATCTCCGTCTTGTGACGTCGCAGGAAATTCAACAGGCGAAGTTGATGACGAAACTTTTGTTATATCGGTGGTTGATGAACTATTAGGCGGATTTTGACCATTTTCTATATTATTATTATCTGTTATATTATTAGTGTCTATTTTAATGAAGTCTATTTTGACTTTTTCCTTTTCACCACTAATACCACCATCTTTTTCGTGATAATCATCTAAAATATTATGTCCTGGATCTGGAGGAGGAATACGGAATCCATAAGTAAACGGTGAATTATTATTGTAATTTGTCGGAGGTTGCGGAAATAGAGCGGAAGCTGTGTTTCCTTCGTTATTATTATTTTGTTGAGGTACAAATTGAAGTGGGGAAGAAAATTGCGTTGATGAATTCATTTGTTGTTGTTGTGGAAATACAACAGAATTTAAACTTGAACCATAACCAGTATCGACGGTTGAATTACTACTTCTATAATAATCACTTGGATCTGGCATCTAATAAAAACGACATAATAAATAATTAGATTTTATGATTATGTTTTCTTTATAAATGGAGTGTAATTAATAAATGCAGTTACCTTCAATTCACCAAATGTAGGCGGCGTCCAAACTTTATTCTTTCCTTCCAATGTGGCCTGAGTTTTAGCAATCTCTGCCATTCGCTCCAATTTTTTCGTAATCTCTTGTCGATTCAGTCCACTACCACCTGCGGCAGCACCACCAGCAATGGAATCTCCATGAATTTGATTCAGCTCTTTTAATGTATTTTCGAATTCACGCATGTGTATTGTTTGCTCGGCGACTTTCTCATTGTAACTCGCTTCAAGATCGGCAATACGTGATTGTAATGTTTGTACGGTGTGTCGCGAAAGCCGAAGTAGTTCCTCGAGTGAAAGCACTTTTGCTTTGAGCTCGCTGACAAGTCCGTCTATTAAAAAAAATTGGTTCTTATTATCATGTATTATTATGAATCTAACAATTAAAAATTAATCTATACCAGATCCTTTAGATAGTTCTTTATGTAACTCATTCTTCTCTTTTAATGCTTTTTCAGCAATCAATTTTGCTTCACGAGCTTCCTCTATTGCAGCTTGCAATTTTTCTTGATCTGCTAATTTATCAATTACTTGACTAACAGATATACCGACCGAATGTGTGAAGTCTTGGTCTAATCCACGTCGATCCAATACAACTTGCGTCACTAAAGCGTCGATAAGTTGAAAATAACGTGTTCTATTTTCATTATAGTTAGAATAAATCAAATGGAAGTAAAAATGAACGCCCGGAATTCGCATACACTATAATAATACTTAACCTACCTTGTTTCACCGTCATCCCTTATTAATAACATGTGTTGCATAGCCGACAAGAAGAAATCAAATGCTCTTGTTCCCTCAACCGACGCCAAAATACACTGAAATACATCATGAGGATCAGTGGAGAAGAATGTTAAGGAATCAAGTGTCTATGTAATTACACATATATACAAATAGATAGTATATATCTGTCATAAGTCGAAATAGAATGCCATATTGATTCGGAATCAACCTAGATTAATTCATAATTTGTTAATATTAGGGTTAGGATTAGAGTTAGGGTTATGTCAACCTGGGGTAGTTTAAAATCCTTAATTTGATATCTAATTCCAAATCAACATAGGTTGATTCCGAATCAACACAGATTCTATTCCAACTTATGACATATTAAAATCTCATACAGCCAAAACTCGTTATAGTGAAGGTGTTCGGGCTATTAGCAAAAATATTTCAAGAATTCACTATATCGAGAGTTTATTAATAAATTCATTAGAGCAAAAGTATTCATTATATACTGTTCTGAGCTCAACTTCACTACATCGAGAGTTTCACCATAACGAGTAACGAGGTTCACTATAACGAGAGTGACTTGTAGTAGAAATACAACTAGAAATGGCATGACTTCAAGTAAAGGATATGTCATATCTTGCAAAATTTGATGGTTATAATAGTCCAATACTTCTTCATAGTCCGCCTCACTTTCTCGCTCGAATTTCAATATTTGTCGATTGATAAATTCATAGTTGAATGATTTCATTTTCTAAGACAAAGGAAGAACAAATATAAAAGATTATTTTAATGAATAGATAAATTCAATGATATCAATCAGTCGAATAATCATGCATACATCAATGATCCTCGTTAAACCACATGCATGAAGTTGATTTCTTAAGTGTACACGTAATTCTACATCATCACATACTCCGATTAAAGAGTTCACCAAAATTAAGTTTGAGAGCTATTGAAGAGAATTGGTATCACAGAGAGAGAGAGAAGATTAGAAGAAATATGCAAAGCCACCAAGATAATTAAGATAATGATAATATTATTATTATTATTATTAATTCAAAATACCGCGTATTCCATCAGTGAACTATCAATTCCAATTCCACCTTTCCGATACTCTTCACTAGCATTCACGAAACTACCCATTCTACCGCGACCATCGATTGTGTTCTCGAGCATACGCATCCATGCATCAAATCTTCCATGCTCAGCTTGAAATTGCATTAGTTGATCAAATCCAGCCAACACCAAATTATGTCCAACTGGTATTTCGCAATAACAGAGAAATGATAAAACTTCGGCGACAAGCTTTCGTGTGGCCAATTGTGGTGATACTAGTGAAAATGTTATACTATGGATACATTTCGGATGTGCGAGAGCGTCTTGGGCTCCCCACTGTTTAAATTAGATTATATCAGTATTTGATAATGTTTTAATTGCTTATTTAATGGAAATAACATACCCTACTATTTAGTAGGCATTTTAAACATTTGATAATTCCATATTCCATTTGTAAATCAGCCTCTCGCCTAATTTTAGAAACAATTAAAATTTTAGTATAAAATAGTAATTAAGCAAAAATGAATATAAGAAATTTACTTTATAGGTTTACGAGTAATAGTGCTCAAATGATTTGCCAAAACTTCTTGCCCTTTTGCGTCAATATATGATCTAACCCATCTATTAAAAAAAGAATAGATTATTTATTATCGAATAAAATATAATCTCGAGTCTTTTTTCTTAAAATCAAAAAAAGATAAATACGTTATGGGAGCGGTTCTTAATGAGACACTCAATGAATCTATGTGTTTTATGGTAACAGAGCCATCCAAAATTTTCCTTAAATAGTATTCTGGCGCGCTTTTATCCAAAGAATATCCAATTTGAGGTCGATTTCTCTAAGAAATTAATTATTAAATTAATTAATTTATATAATTCAAATATTAATAAACAAAAAACATACAAACCTCATCCTCTAGTAGATCATTCTTTACCAACATCCATTTTTTCTCGGTCGGTATGGACACCATTTGTTTTCTTTGAGCTTCCGATAATTTCTTTAAATCTCTTTTATTCTAAAATATTATAATATTAAATTAGTTAATTTACTAATAATAAAAATTAAAAATAAAATTAAAAATTACCATCAATTCCAAAAACATTTCCTCAATTTCTTCGTCCGAAGGTTTAGGTACATCTTGAGTATTGTTTTTATGAGGATGCGCATGTAAATGAAATCCTCTTTCCTTTGGATAATCATTCCCACTATTATTATTATTATTATTATTACTATCATTTCCAAATAATGTAAATTGTCCAGAAGAGCGTCCAGAAGTAGTGCCCGAAGTTGATGATGATGTACTAGAAATATCAGGAAATGGATAAGCTGGCATAAATTGATAATTATATTCTCCGGATAAATGCTTAGTTTCTCGATGTGATTCAGAATTAGGAGGTGATTGTTGTCGTGGTGGTAGAGGAGGAGGAGTTTGTGACGAAGTTTGAAATGGAGGAGGATATGATTGCTGATGTGATGGATATGTTGATTGTTGATATGGAAGAGAATGCGTATGTTGAAGTGTTGGTGGATGATTTGGATTAGATTGTTGTTGTTGTTGTTGTTGATAATGAGCATATCCAGGATAACCACTATTTGATGGATTATTAGATGAAGGTGGAAAACTGGGAGAACCCACCAGTGGTGGCCTCATTTGATCATATGGTTGTGACGAATTCAATTCCGGTAAAGTCTTTGGAGGTTTATTTTTTTTCTTTACTCCGAATATATGATGCGCCATTTTTACTATTGTTTATTATTACAATTTGCCGTTCTTTTTGACAAATTAATTATTCGTATCTTTTTTAAGTTTTAACATTTATTAGATCTATAAGTCGAGAACACCAAAAAACCAAATAAAAATAAAATAAATACCAGTAATGCCGATTACTTATTCTAGTTTTGCTTTATAGCTGTTGTTTTGATTAATAGATCTAAAACTACATCTACCATTTGATTTAAGACAGAAATCCTTTGTCAAAAAGACATAGTGAAAAGAACCGCCAATTAACCAAACAACCGACCAAGCCAAAAAATAATTATTTTCCTATATACCGCTATAATAATTATAAAGCAAATCTTTTAATATGTCTGATGTTTGATAACATCAAGTCTCAATACTTTTATTTCTGCTGCTTTCATTACTCAATGAGTTCAAGTTACCCAAATGATTATTACGTCACTCAAAATAATGTCCACTTTCACGTGGCACCAGATAATATATATGTGTTACTGCAAATTAAAATGACTTTCTGTGGCTCATTTTACCTCACCAAGTTAATGGTCATTTTCTTACCTAAATATAGTAAACTTTAATTATGATCATTATATCAAAGAGAAGCTTAGTTAATCCACATTCTTGCCAATAATTCATTGTATATAAAAGCATAATAGGGTTCTCTCTTAACAACAAACTCGATCAAAATCCAGGTCGTAGAATTATAAACCATATGGTGTTACCATATGGTTGTGAATCATAAGTAAATCGTTCTTCCGCATTTGTTGGATATCGATATTTGAAGTGTCCTCCCACATCTACCACTTGCAAAAACAAACATACACGTTCCTTTTTCTTACGCTTTGTTGGTATTCAGTTTCGTCCAAAGCATTATATAAGATACTAATGCAATTATGTTTACTTTCTTCAGGTCTCCTTTTACTATTTCGTTTGTAATTATAGAAGTAGTTTGTCCGCATATTGTATTAAACATGATTGTAACAAGATTAAACAAGCGACAAACATTTCTCTTCACGCAGGACGCACTTTAATGGTGCATTTGCATCTTCGTCAGAACAATGAAATAGAAATGATCAAACAAATTAACATACGTATAATACATATCGTAGAAATTGATGAAACTTCATAATACTGCGTAAATTTATTTCTCTTCACAACAATGTTTAAAGTTTACTATGTAATTATGATTATAATGAATTTTCTATCTCAATAATTGAAGGTTAATGTTTATAGTCTACATAAATAACGTTATGGAAAAGTTTCTATCTCCTAATCATAGATCTGTTATTAATTGACGAATTACTGTAACCCATTATTTTTCTCAACACTGATTTTATTTCCTACTTTAATAGAACATAAAAACAGTAGAATTCACAATCACAAGCTTTCAAATAATTTGATGACATTAATTTTTTCAATACTTTATTTTCTTTATCCAAAGAGAGAGATTGTGTCCCATTACATATTAATATTCTAATGGCCATTAGAGTTATGATGCATGGCAGGGCGCCATTAAAATGCCGATATTTTAATTTTAAATTTTAAATCTGATTTAGTTGATAAAGCAAATCGGAAGAAATAGTTGATGGCGCCATTAGAATGCATGATGTACGGCAACCATTACAATGCAAGTTTTTTTATGAGCATGCAAATATAAATAATGTTCCAGCGATTTATTTTTACTGTTAATGCGTGTTCTTTACCCTTCTTTCAATCCAAAAATCATGGTGGAACATACTAATACAGTGGCTCGCACATGTAACCGAACACGAAAATTAACTTTCTAGCATTTTTATTTCCATGACTATTAGTTTGGACAAAATAAAAAAA